AGGCCGGCGGGAGGGGGTTGTGGAGGCTGACGGGGCCTCCTGGAGGGAGGGTAAGGGGGAGAGGGCCTGCAGGCCGGGAGGCGCGGGGCTCTCCGCGCCGGCTGTTTTGGGGGGGGGATTACCCACTCTCACCTCTGTTCCCTGTCAGACTGGAGGGTCGCTTTTGGCGAGGGCTTTACCCACTCTCACCTCTGTTCCCTGTCAGACTGGAGTGTCGCTTTTGGCGAGGTCTTCCTACCCGTAACCCGGTGCTGGCATTTCTGAAACGCCAGTGTGAGAGGTACAATGAGGGGCCAGTGAGGTCGGATCGGGTCCGTCTAGTCCTGTCTCTAGTGGCTAAAGATGCTTGCAGGAGAGGAGATAAAGCATCTGGCATGCTTAGGTGTCAAAGTCAACAGTCGGGGATTGGACAGCTCGCAGTAGAGGTTATTTGCAACCTCTGGAAGGAAATGACATTAATTTAGGGGCGTTTACAGTATTTCAGCACTGAGCGGAAGCATATTCTTTATTGAGAGGTGAGCCTACAAAGTCATTGCAGGTACAAGTAGTCCAAAGTATATTTCATTTCTTAAATGATTCAACCGTTGCATTGTAAGGAGATCCAGAACCTTCAGACTCATACCCAGAAGTCATGGACTGTGGTTTCCTTTTGCTTTATCTGATCTAATTTTTTGATGAAAACAGGTTTTTTTGGATAGTTTGTTTTCTCCCAGTTGCTACTCATGCAATTAATGTTTAATATTATATATAACAGGGAAAGACTGATATAGGGACTTGATAATAGCTTTCTCTAATCATGCCTCTTCACTAATATCTCTGAGTAATTGTGTGTCATTGTAAGCCATTTGTGTTGGTAAAAAAAAGTAAAATGTGATAGCGGCAATGTTAGTCCAGTCAAATCAACGCTTTCTACGACTTTGTGCCAAATTAAGTATCCGACCTCATAGAAATACACGTATTTTATTACTCTGATTTAGGATATTCTGGAGGCGTTTGCAACCACTTAAACTTGCTTGGTTTATGATGGTCCTTAAACCTTACAAGCTTCAGCTGCCATCTGAGTTTTCATATCCAGTTCTTTGTTTCCTTTTCCATCAAGTCTCTTCTCTCATTCTGTTTGCAGCTCCATGTGACTTTGGTTTTGATTTTAAAGCCTAACTAAAGTAGTCATGAAAATAACGTATAACAAAATATTTATTTGGTTTTTTTCTGTATAGTTTTCCTTTCTGTCTTTTGCCTGATCAGTCTGTATATAAGGTTTTTA